ATGCATGCATGTCTAAAAACACACTTATTGCTCCACTTATTTCCGCAGATTGGCTTGAACTTGGGCACAAGTTATGCAGACGATGTCCAGCAGACGTGCTTGTCTCCCGAGAAGCAGATCTTGAGGAACTTCTATGTCGACTATTTCCACTCGCCAAGTTCCTGCAAAGCGCCTGACGGGACTACAGTGCACGTCTTCAAGAGCAAAGGGCATGACAGTGCAACTTACGGGGGGAGTCACTCCTCTATGTGCGCGAGGCTGCCCGGGATCTGCCAGATGATGCAACAGCACAGGTGGGTTGGTTAATGGTTTATGGTTAAGGCAAATCAGTGTGTTCAGTATCCAAGGTTATATAGCGCTATGATGTAGGATTGCAACGGAAAGGGTAGAAATGAATTAATGATTACACACAGGTGGGGTTGTCTTTTGAATAGATCAATATCTATATGGTAAATTAATATATTACATCATATAGACATACAAATAATATCGTTGACGTTTTCAACCATCATAAACAATTTCAACATCTATTTTGTAATTGCTGTTGCCTTACATCTATTAACTTACTACAATTTAAAAATATTAACAATTAGTTTCAGCAATAGAACCTACTCATTACCTGAAGGTATAAATATCCAGTGACTGATGACATGAAACCTGCCGACACAACCTTCGTATAAAACCAAAAGAGATCAAGATTATAACTTATTATTATTATTATTGTTATTATTTTATTCTTCATTACAGAGCACGGGGAATTCTGGACGATGGGTGGAATATGATGTCGACTTTGAGAGACAGCCTCGGCCATTTGTATACGCTTATGACAGGTCAATTCTCTACATCTTTTCAACCACCGGACGTAAGTTTTACTTCCTTACCGTGTTATATTTTTGTTAATTTATGTTATTGTTATTATTATCGGTATTATCATTATTATTATTATTATCAGTATTATTATCATTATCGTTATTATTATCACTACACTAATACTGTTATTACTACTCTCATATTTATAATTATCATCATTACTATTATTATTGATACCATTAACAATGTCATTATTATTATTATCATTATCAAATTTACTATCATCATTATCATCATCATTATCGAGAAAACCGAAAAAAATATCTAACCTGTTTTCTTTAGAAATCGTGAAAAATAACAATGTCTTCCCTAAAACTGCAGGTCGAGGGTTGGTCGGTGCCGCGCCAATATCCAAATGCAGACGATCGACTTATTGACTGCCGCGGGGACGAGTATGTACTGCAGTGGTGTAAATGATATATTTCATTGGGTGTTTGACGAGTAGAATCTGTGATATCAAGTAGGTGTATATATGCGTGTGTGTGTGTGTGTTTTGATGTCCGTGTGTGTGTGTGTGTGTGTGTAGATGTGTGTGTGTGTGTGTGTGTGTTGTGTGTTTAGATGTCCGTGTGTCTGTATGTGTGTCACCGTGTGTGAGTGTGTTGAGATGTCCGTCTGCGTGCAGCTGTCTCTATTTAAAAACGATTAATCTGGCCATATATACAAATTACTTTTATACTAAGTCCTTTTTTATTACTGTGTCTCTAGAAAACCGTACTTTTTCTAGAAAACCTATAAAAAAAGTTTTGAGTATCGCATTTCACTCAGCTATATTTGATAATCTAATATCCCCATTGATTTTGGGTTTAAATTAACATATCAACAACACGACAATGATTTTTTTTTACGAGGGAGGGACCTATCTAATCAAATTTCAAATACACAATATATTCGCGTCAAAAGAGAGAGACATCTGTTTGATCATCTCTCAACTGCACGCTTGCATATGATCTCAAGGGAAGTGTCTTTTTAATGACCTTTCAAATACGCGCAATGCAGAGTGTCAAGGGAGGTATAGTGTTGTCTCTCACAAATGGGAAAGGCTAGATCAGTAGCAATTCGAGGTGTTATGCCGTCTGTTCTGATGATTGTTCAATGAAAATATAACCATTAAAATAATTATTTTCCATCCTTTTTTGAAAATAGAGACCAAAATGATCGACCATAATCACAAAGCATCCATAACTGTTGTGACGTCATCAAAATAAACCCCATGTACTTTTTCCCAGAAATAGAAACAGACGCCATGGCACCTCCTTGAGTTGCTACTGATCTAGTTTTCCCTCTGTTGTTTCATCTCAAATACACATGGCTCACCGTCTCTCAACAGCTGTGGAGACTACAGCGTACCCGTGTGTGAAGGTATAGAGGATGTGGCCTTCCCTGTAATGGGTTGGTCAGCTATCAACAACCATTCAGTTGTTATTTTGCAAGAATTTCCTGTCCTGCTCCAGCCCGTCTTCTTTCGGAAATGCAAGTAGGTATATAGGCCTATGTTAAATTGAAGTACGTGTTGAGTAAAATAGGCCGTTTGGAGTTCTGTAATAGGGTTATAAAAGTAGTATTTCTCATATGAGTAAACTGAAATATGGACTTTTTTCTATTTCATTCATACTTTTTTGTCTAAGACTATACTTTGACGGTCGGTTTGTTAGAATTGTGCGAGGCCCGATCCAAAGAATATATGTATACAGTATATAGACATCCATATATACAGAAATAAATGCATATTTATCTATTTATCAGATATATATACGCATTTATCTATCTAAACATATGCACTAGACTGATAGATATGCATGTCTAGACTGATAGATATGCATGTCCTAATAGATATGCATGTCCGTATAAAGTTGATTGTCCATTGGGTCGGTCCTCGCGCCATTCTAACAAACCGGCCATTAAATCTGTGCTTTAAAATATCACTTTTCTGCAGGAGTTCGCAATCTCAGGTTGTCCACGGACGATGCGTTCAAGAATACCTGCCAATAAAGTTTTTCGTGAAGCCAACTTATCCTGGAGGTTCAATTTCCCAAGACTTCGTGATGGTGGAATCTGGGTGTCAAGTGGCTGTGGACTTTCACCACAGACAGTGGAAAGACCTCCCTGCACCAGACGACTCAAAGCCAAAGGTCGAAAGAAAAGATGTAGTGGAAATGTCTCGGCAGAGTGACCGGCAATTGTTTTAGGAAAGAGGATCAAATGCTGAATGGGGAAAGGCTAGGTCAGTAGCAACTCGAGGAGGTGTCATGGCGTCTGATTCCATGGGGGGGAGCACATGGCGTTTATTTTGATGACGTCACAAAAGTTACGGATGCTTTGTGAATATGGTCGATCTTTTTGGTATTTTAAGTTTTCAGAAAGAATGGAAAATAATTATTTTAATGGTTATATTTTCACTGAACAATCATCAAAACAGATGCCATGACACCTCGAGTTGCTGCTGATCTAGCCTTCCTAATGCTGAAAGACCGAATTGGTAATTAGAAATGAGGTTATTCTGTATCCTAAATTTCGTATTTTCCATATTTTACACGTCAAAAACAAACAAATATAAACAAAAATCATCTAACTACTAAATCAATAAGCGAATGATATACGAAAAAGTATCTGACCACGAAATCAATAAGCAAATTGGAAAAATAGCATCAAAGAGGCGAATCAAAGAGTATTTAACCCCATATTAGTAGGTTCGGTTATCTGGGGAATTCGCTGTTTGTGGCGTCACTCACAGAAATAGGGAAATATTCTCGATATTATTTACCTGAATACTTCTAATAACCTAGAAATGTCTACACTGTTAGATTATAGATTAGTTAAACAGTACAGTATACTAGTTTTTGCAAGTGAATTCATAAAATCAATCAAAATATCGTTAACTAATGTTAATTCAGTTATTGTTGCACCATCTCGTAGATTATCAGAACAGAATCTAGTTTCCTTTTTATGTTATTAGATTAATATATTCTGTTATAATGATCACATATACAATAACAGTGACCGTAGACAGTACTTATTATTTTGTTTCATTGTTGTGATTGCTATTATTTTTGTAATTGCTGTTATCAGTATTCGTTTTTTTTAAACATGGTTGTTACTGTTATTATTAATCTTATTAAGATTGTTATTAGATGTTATATAATAGCATTGTTATTAATATTGAGATTTTTTTTCTAAAATCACTAATTATCATATTTAGTATATTTTATATCCCTTAATATGTAAAAGGGATATCCGAATTCAAAAGAGATAGACATAATATTGTGTCACTATTATAACATATCAAATTAGTGATACTCGCCAGTCTCCACGATTCACGTGAAGAAAAAGAAAACACAATTGCTAAATTCATCATTCTTTTATTATCTGTACGTGAGTATTTTGCACGCTAAAAATAATACATTTCTATTTACACTCTACATGACATTCTTCAAGTTAACCCTACCAAAGCACACATGACAGTGAATTACCAAGTGCCTAATTACCTACTGTCAAGCACTCGAGGTTGGGAATTGACCATTAACGGCTTAATGGCTACAGAAGGACGTTGTTTTTGCCTCCCCGAATACAGTCACGGTCAAAAGTCTTGTCAAATGTTTCGAATTCCGTTTCGAACATAGGCTCAATATCACACTCTTTTGTATAGAGTAAGACAGATTCAAAGCTTCAATTGATTAAGACTTTTGTTCGTCACTGTACCTGTCACTCCAAAAACTCCGTCACTGTACCTGTCACTCCAAACTTATTTAAAAGGCTCATTTATGCCTCCCAGAGTACAGCAAAGTCGATTTCCAACTCGTGTAATCCTAGCCTTACTGTTCATATCATTCGGTGCTGGAAAAGCCTTACGTATCCTGCTGAGAGCAAGATGTGTGAGGGTCGAATTTCGAGCACATGTTTTCGCACCAATTAATCAGAACAATTTTTAATGGTTATGAATTATTACGCGATTTTTTCGTCAATGACATTGATCTCTAAGGACTTTCGTGGTTTTGTATTTCACAAATAGCACCATAATCATCACTTCTTTATTTTTGTTTATAGGCCAACTAACTCTATTTTATATTAATCATGTTTGCCTTTTATGATGTAGAAATTATACTTCAAAATATAAATTTCTTTTTTGTCGTACTTTTATTCACGATCTTGTTCCCACACGATTCCAGTCCATTAAGCAAAAATATTCCATTACAAAATACCGACATATTAAAAAAAAAATCTTGCTTTTCGTCTTTGATCCCAAAGGAATGTAGACCACGCTTTTGTTTCTCATTTTTTCCCTTTAGTTTTCTCTCTTCGACATGTCTCTTGCTTCTTAATACATGAGAGTAATCTCGCCCACAAAACCATAATGCAAGAACTGTAGCGAGAAGATGAGGTGGAGCGATAAACACGCTAATAAGAGAAGGGACTGAAGACTCAATGGCGAGAGAGAGTGAATGCAAAGACATGGTAAAATTCCTTGAATAAGTAAAAGTTCTTGATGTGGGAAACCAAAGGCAGTGGGGAGACGTGAATACAATCTGAAGGGAACTGTCGGTAATTCTGAGATTTCAGTATGAGTTAGAAATGTAAATGTTTAGGAAGTTTAGTATCTCTGCCCCTTTGAATATCTATGAAGGCACTTATATGTAACTGATTCTCCGGACATGATCAGTTTGCATAGGGGGTTTCCTTTGTAAGTATAATGTACGCCATCACTGTGTAGTTATGACTTGTAAAATATATATATATTCCGGTGTGTGTGAATATAGATGTGTGAGTCTATGCCCATTTTCTATGTCTGTAAACACTAACGTCACTTTGGCGCATGCGTGTAGTTGCCAACCAAGGAATTAAAAAAATGAATGGTAAATACGGGTAGGATTGCTGACACGTATTCTAAACGCGTTAGATCTGAGCATTTTTGGAGGGGGGGGGGGGGAGAATATAGAGAGATACTACAACAAAATAACGAAATGGTTGCCTGGGTCATATGGAAGTAACACTGAAGGTAAGGAATAATTCTGACCCAATCTTTGCATAGTCTTTCTTATGAAAAGTTCGGCCATTAATATCCACCAAAAGATAGCATAAGCATTGCAAATAAATTGATATATTAAAAATTATCTTGATAAATCAGCCTACCTGTTATAAAATCCAATATTAAAATTTCTTGATTACAGCGCCTCAAAAGGTGATTTTCAAGGATAATTTTCAAGGATAATTTGTTCTTAATCGTTGAGTCCAGCTGGTGGCAACCCTAGCCACTTTTACAGCGAAGAAAACTAAAAATAAAATAACTTTCAATAAAAGTATACTCAATGTCCAGCTATCGCATGCGTAGACCTATCAACGAGTTAGATTTGTTCTTGCCAACTAGCCACCACGTGACCTGGATGTGACGTCAGTGTGACAATGCTGTGTATGTGTGTCTGTGTATTTGTGTGTGTGTGTGTGTGTATGTGTGTGTGTGTGTGTGTGTGTGTGTGTGTGTGTGTGTGTGTGTGTGTGTGTGTGTGTGTGTGTGTACGTGCGTGCGTCTCTACCGTGATATGCAGAAAAGTGTCCTTGGTGCATGATTCAGCAACAAGCCCACTCTACCCGTGCGCACGGCAATGTAATTCAAATCGAAATCAATAAACGCCATCCTAAATCACTAACACCGGACTCTCCCTATGAAAACAAAAGCCTATCGCTCGCATCGCATCATCAGTCGCAACCGTGGGTTTGATCCTCCGTTTGGAGAATCGTAGTCAGGTTAGGCAGGATCTGGGGGAGCTGCGTCACGGTGTCTATGGTGAAGGCCGGTTGGACCTCCTTCGTCGCTTCCTTGTTCTTGCTGTTCACCCAGACTGTGGCTGCCAGGCCGGCGTTCAGGCCTCCTAGGATATCGGTCTCCAGTTTGTCGCCGACCATGATGCATTCAGAGGGACGGACCTAGGAAAAGAAATGGTGATGATTGTGGTGGTGTGAGGTGATGATGGTGGTGTGGGGGTGATGATGATGATGATTATAGCGATGATACTGATGAGAATAATAGCTAAAACCACAATAATGGTTATAATGATGATAGAATGCAGTTAAAACGTCTTGGAGTAATAATGTTCCTTTTCAAATGGCTACACTAATGAAAAGAAAGAATAACAAAAGTTATTACTAATTTTTTTCATTAGCTGATATCAGAATAAACAATTCAATTTCTCAAAGGAATATAACCAACTTACCAATATGAAAAAGTCTTATATAATGAAATATTGTTCATATTCACATGTAGTTTTAAAAAATCGTGAAAAAGTGAAGTCCAAATTCCTCTTCATATTTACCTAAAGCTCTCCTCTCACCGCATAGAAGTACCACAAATCATGAAGTTTAAGGTCAAAATCACCCATCATATTTTACCACAAAGGAAGTCAAAGTATCGTGAAGTTATGGTCCAATTTCCCCTTCATATTTACCTGCAGTTCTCCACACGCCAGATAATATATATCCTTATCTGGCTTCTCAACTTCGAGGTCTCCACTGACGATGATGGAATCGAAATACTTCTTGCAGCCAATTTCGTTAATCTTTTCCCACTGAGCAACAGATGGGCCTGAAGAAGAAGAAAAAATAGAATCTTATGGTTAGTAGATTCTATTTATAGGGTTAGTTTGTGAAATGCCTTAGATTTTGTTAAAATAGGTTGTGGTGAAAGTGTATGTGGATCGTGTATTTTTAATGATTAGAGAAAGTAGAGCATAAAAATACATGTAAAATGCCTGGTTAGGAAATTACCGTTCCTTCTGAAAACAAAAATACAAGAAAAATCCCTAGTTGGCATCACTACACATAAAAAATGCCAAATGCCTGGTTTTGCAAATCACTATCCCATAAAGAAAGTAAAATGCCTGGTTAGCAAAATTATTACACAAGAAAATACCACAAAACACCTGGTGAGCAAACTAATATTCCTTCTAAAAAGAAAGAAAGAAAGAAACATAAACGTTTAGTTATCAAATTACTGTGACATCCACTGACCATTGGTGATCAGTCCAAGATTGAAGTCAGTCGCTAGTTCGTCAAGCATACTGGTTACATTAGGCTTCAGAGACAGCTGGTTTAGCCTCTCCGACTTCCATAACGAGTACAGTTCATCTGGAACGAGAGAGAGATAGTTCATGATGTAAATGGTGTAATGAACTGTATGGGTACAGTAATAATTATGTTAATAATGAGGATTACTGATTGTAATTGATATCTTTATAAATGATATTGAGGGTGATGCTGATGATAATGGTGATAACACGATGTTGTTGAAGATGAAAGTGATGATAATAACAATAATAATAATATTCAATTTATAAACAATTGCCTAAAAATGATAATAAACCGTGTTGCAGTGCAATCTTTTACAGTCTTCCATCACATTCTGCCTCGTGCAATTAAATCATCATCTATGTAAAAAAAAAAAAAAAAAATAGATGTGTAAAGTCTTTTTTCGAGTAAATGGATCATGGAAAATATACCGAGATAATAAATGCGCTTTTGTTTTTTATATAATTTAGTATAACCCCAGTGGAGAATAAATTGCTTTGTAAACTCACATTGCGTTGTGCAGTCATGTCTTACCGTTATCAATATATCAGTTATTATATCTATGATTACCATAATTCTTTTTAATACAGTTATTGTCGTTATCATTTAAATGAATCACAGTAAATATTTGCAATTTATCATGTAATATTTTGCCATTGCGACAATTAGAACAGTAATAACTACGAGAATTGAATTTGATAAGATTAACATATTTTCCTTGGCGGTCAACAAATACCTAAGATTTCATGGCGATCCTCTGGTAAAACCCGCGCCCAGATATCCTGCCGCCATTTGTCGAGTCCGGCTTCATCTGTTTCGAAATCGGGCGCCGGTGCTTGTCGAAACTCCCTGAGAAAAGTCTTGGTTATGTCCTGGCTTTCTTCCGTTGAAAATCCTTTGTTTTGAAGCCATGTTGCCACCTGTGGGGAAAGAGGAGTGAGTTAACTGTTAGTAATGTCCTTTGTTATTTCATTTTGCTTTCTTATTTATCCTGGTTTGTTTGTTTAGGATAACCTCGTTCAACTTGCGATTAACGGCAAAACTGGTAATAACATCATTGTTCCTAATTAGAGAGGGAAGGAATTCCATCTAGAAGCTCCAACTCTAAAAATCTCTCTCTCTCTCTCTCTCTCTCTCTCTCTCTCTCTCTCTCTCTCTCTCTCTCTCTCTCTCTCTCTCTCTCCTCTCTCTCTCTCTCTCTCTCCACTCCGTACTGATTCTGCTTGACTCTCAACACATGATTTTTTTTTCATTACCATCACCAATCGCTTTATACTATACACTTTAATTAACTGAGTCAGGCATAAAAAAAAAAAAAAAAAAACGTTTTAATTAATTTCAGGCATGCAGTAGGAGCTTCGTCCTATCAAAAGCTGCAAGGCAATTAGCTAATCAAACAGCTAACAATGTCTATTGAAATTAAGAGGGTTGATTTCAAATTCTCTTAAAATTATAAAATTAGACAAAAATATATCTTCCTAGGAAACGATACCTAGAGGGAAAAACCCGAAGAACTTTCCATAAAAAAACTAGTAATAATAATAATAATAATAATAATAATAAAAAATCAAGCTCGAAGTAAAAAGGGCGTTGAAAAAAGCACAGCATGAAGGGATATAAGAAAAGGGAGTTTTTTTGTTTTTTTTTTTTGTACTGGGATAAACAAGTCATGTACCAGGGGTCGCTAAGCCGTTGTTTTATCTTGTGCCAGCGGGACCTCGCGCACTACCTGGGGAGAGAAAACCAGTGGGACAGCTTCCAGACATTCAGTTCCGAGAGGGTTATCTGGGAATTTTTAAGTTTACGCTTATTACTTAACTATCATATACAATGAGACCAAATAATATAGCAATCACCACAAAACAATACACATGATTCGTAACTATTAGTACGCAGTGTTCAGCCATTTAATGTTTCTTCGAGTTTCTTTTTTTTGTTTTTTTTTTAATAGTTACCGTAAATCAAGGTTTCCTGGAGTCGGACTCACTAATAGAGTGGTCACTTACCATCGCGTTTACCTATTTAACATTATTCTTATATAGGTTTCCAACAGAATGCATATACAAAGACGAAAATTATAATCGTAACTCGACTCATTCTAATGGTAGCCAACAGATGGCTCTAGTAAAGCAATTCCGCCAATCAGCAACTGCCATACATAATCTTTTAGTTTCCTCTGGCCAATCACATAACATGTAAGCTGAACTAAATCTGTTTAATGATTATATCCATTATATAGAATATTAATAGACCTCCCTGGTTATTTATCTTATAAATAATCAATGCAAACACTTATATCAATATACCATTGTTTATCATAAACTAGAGAAACAGCCCAGTTCTTATTTATTCAAAAATTTCTCACCATTGCCAAAACAACTTATATTCATCGTCATATATCGTCAAATAAAGGGAATATCTCAAATTCATTCTTTCCCATTCAGTTTGGAGTTTGTAGTGGTTTGCCAAACTACCGACTGATACAAAAGTTGCTGTCGTCGTTTCATATTACTATTGCAAGTTAATGTATCAGTTAGTTTATTTTCTATAGAATTTGTTATAATCATGTCAGAGAAGAATTCGTTAGACTCTGTTCAGACGAGCGACTTAGGGGCGACTATAGAACGACTGCTCCAGTCGCCCTCTAGCTCACACGAGACCTTGTGTTGCTATGCGGCGCACACACACGGCGACAGCCAGTGCGTTTTCATGGTGATGGCGCACCTCATTGGATGGAGGGGTGGGTTCGACAATGAGAGAGCATCACGTAGAGCGGAGGCAGACAGACAGGCGACAGTAGCTTCCGCTTCCCCCAACCTGTCATCCTGATTTGATGAACATTCTCATGCTCAAATTAAAGATACTTGGTTTTTCATGTTCATTCTGTATAACTTTGAAGATAAATGCGAAGAAATTCATGGGTATATTCTGTCATTTGCATGTGTATATATATATATATATATATAATAGTATATATATAATATATGTATATATATATATATATATATATGCTTGTATATGTTATATGTTATTATATTATGTGTGTGTGTAGTTTTTGTATTTTCGTCAGATATAAGAATATAAGACGAAAAGCCCACCATCAATAGTCTTAATTCATTCATCTTTTTTCATGGTAATATTTTCCTACATTTTACAGCAATAAGATTATAACAAAGAAAGATTTAAATCAAAGTCAAAACAAGACTTGCTTCGCTTACTAAAAAAAAGTCCTCCCTGGAAATTATTTCCTGGTTACACATCACTATCATTTTTTTCTCTCTCTCTCCCACTTTTCTCCTCTCTCTCTCTCTCTCTCTCCCCCGTGGAAAAACAGGAGGATTTCCATTTTCAGAAACACAAAGTTTGGGAAAGAAAGATAGAACTCAGAATTACCCTGTATTTTTATCTGTGTTATACAAGTGTGACCACAAAGGATTCAAAGACAAAGGTTTGAAGTTCACGATTATACAGTACACGAGTTTCTCGAATCATCCCGGAATAGATCTCACATCACGTTTTCCTTTTATTCTGGTTGTTTTTTTTTTTTTTTTTTTTTTTTTTTCTGGTGGCAGCACTCGCCGAATACCTACTGGTATACCTCCATGTTGCCGTAGTTCTTCGCTCTACTTAGTTTTCGTCTGTGTTAGTGTGTCTTTTTGACTGTACGTGTGGGTGTGTTTCCCTAATTGAATATGGTGTTACGATAAAATGAATAATTTAATGAATGTAAACTTTTTTTTTTTTACGCTACCCCCACCTCTCTCTCTCTCTCTCTCTTCTCTCTCTCTCTCCCTCTCTGTCTCTCTCTCTCTCTCTCTTCTCTAACCTGAGCACCCCCGGAAGAAGATGCATTCAGCTCTAGGATTGTTACACACATTCTTCTAAAAATGCTGCACTGACTTTCGTCTCCTAAACTCCTATCCAACCTTTACATATCCCTTACCCACATTATACTCACTGTCCAGGCAGTCCGCAAACCACTACTCTTCAATGAACAAAGATTCGCACTAATGGGATTCCTTACTGATTCATGAAGGAATTCGCGGAACTTCTCTAGTTCTGGCGATCACAAATAAGGTGAATTCTTCAGTCCCTCTATTTAATATTATTCTTATATAGGTTACCAACAGAATGAATATACAAAGAGGAATTTTTTTTTCTTGGGGGGGGGGAGCATGATTAATAGGATTCTACTTTCTTACATCATCTGGTATGTGATTCAGAGCATATATTCGGCTTTGAATTGTTCTCTTTAATGGACTTACTCTTCGAATCTACATGCCTGTTCTGACCATATCATTATTTGATTTTTTTCTACCTTCTAGTGGTTCCTAGAAGTATGTTTACACTTGGGGCTGGTTATGTAGATTACCATATCTCGCTCCAGTCCACTGGTTTGGAAAGTGGGTAGTGGAAATGACATTATGGAAGAGGAAACTACACGCAAACTATCAGAATGCCTAAGCCTAATCGTTCGTGTTGACACCAAATGCACGCTTTGTTCTGTTCGAATCCCGTCCCCCAGGAATCGCACGATCTGGTAACACTGCTTAAAAGTCGAGAGATATTTAAGC